ATGTTCAGATAGCATTTAGGGGGGTACTGCTTATGAAGAAGCAACCATTTGTATACTGCCTGGTCCTGGTCAAAAATAAAAGCTGCTTTCGCTGATGAAAAGAACGTGATGTTTGGATAAATCCATCTTAGTTATTGTGTCCTTTTTCTCGTGGTTTGATGGCTATCTAGAAACTGGGTCCAACTTGAGAGTACTACCCAGAGGTGGAACATTGTCTTATAGTCACGGCTGCCCAAGTAGGCCTACAAAAGGGACAGTCTGTGAAGATGACAGTTGTGTGTTAGTCTACATTTCCCTGTGCAAAGAGTCACACTGTTATGTAAATGATCCCATTAGGCCATTTACTCCATTTGGAATGAGGAATATAGATGCTAGGTTTGGAGCACATCTTCAATTCACATTTGCATTCTGAAGAATTAGCCATCCAAGGTGTGTTAGTCTGGGTAAACTAGGGAAGCAAATCCACAAAACGCATATGTACAAGAGAGAGTTTTATATAAAGGGTAAGTGTACATTTAGAAAGCATCCCAACCCAGTGCTGTCCAAACCCATAAGTCCAACATTAGGACATATGTCTGAAACCAATCTACAAAGTCCTCCTCAATCTCACAAAACACATGCAATGACGCTGACTGCAGGACGAAAGGCAAATCAGTGAACGAGTAAGCATCTCAGCGCTGGCAGGGGTCTCCACACGGCTGCTCCAGCACCCAGGGCTGCATCGGGGTAGGTCCATGTAGCTTCTCCTCAGGGATGTCTGGCAGGAAGTGAGCCTTGCCAGCTGAAGCAGAGAACTGGCTATGGCAGCTCCACCCTGGTCTGACCATCAGAAAGCAAGAGACCCGAGACCTAGAAATGTGAGGCTCATGGTGCCATTTATCTCTCCGCCCTTCAGTTAATCCCACATGTTTTTATTGGCCAGGTTGGCACAATCAATCTTAACTATCTCACAGGGCAATTGTTTACTTTGAGTTCCTCTCATGTCTTTTCACATTTTACAAATACCTTAATGTTTTAAAGGAAAATATTACTTATGCATGGTTTTTATCTCAAACTATTTTATAACCTAAAAATGTATGTAAATGCTCTCCAAGATTTCATAGCACAAGGCCTAGATGTTTTCCTTTGTAATTTGCATGCTTTTTTCCTACAACCTTTCCCATATATTTTCTATGATAATGAATCCATCTTTCAGATATATAAGTCCCCTCTACTGGGACAAGAAACATGCCAATTATTTCAACACGAAGCTAATAAGAAAACTGCATCAAATCAGGAGGCAGAACTGTGCTATCACAATAATTTGACATGTGACCTTGATAGCAGCACTTTAGAATTCACAACAGTCTATGGGCTTTGCGTGTTTGTCACTCAGCCCAGAAGCTGATTCCTTGCTTCTGTACACTGCCATTAAAAGTGAATCATGAAATCATAGAATGTCAAGACTATAAAGGAGTTAGAGGTCACTTAGTCCAACTTCTTTATGTGAATAAATCACTCCTACAACATTTTTAATCTCTCGAGTCTCATCTGGAACCCCTTCATGATGATTACCACTTACCACTCCCCTGCCTCAGTAAGAAGAAATGCATCTTTTACATTTCGGGCTCATTTTTCACTTTTGAAAGATCAAAAATCAAAGACTACAATCATCAATATGGATTACAATGCAACATAAAGGAAACAGAATATCTTCACAAATGAACCAATAAGCAACATCATGATAAGTAGACAAAAGATTATAATTGTCAAGGATTTTATTTTACTTGGATCCACAATCAACAATCACAAAAGTGGCAGCCAAGAAATCAGTGTACTTCATTGGGAAAAATCACCTGCAAAATACCTCATTAAGTATTAATGAGTAAAACTATTACTAAGGAGTGAAATGTACCAGTCCCAAGCCATGAGAGTTTGGGCTCCCTCTTATTTACACCAAAGCTGGCTAATGAACATGGAAACCAAAGAAAAACTGATGCCTTTGAACTATGGTGTTGGTGGTACTGAATATTGTCAGACAAGTGATTAAATCTGACTCAAAGGAAGTGCAGTACAAACAAAACGGCAAGCCTTCATTTCAGGTACTCGTCTCAGAAGGGATCGGTCTCTAGATTGAAAGCATCCAGCCTGTTGGAGCAGAAAAGAGGAACAAGAGGGACTGAATCAGTGGCTCCAACCAGGGCCTCCAACACAGTGAAGACTGAGGCTAACACAGGACTGGCCATCCTTTGTTCTGTCGTATCTGGAGTCATTATGAGTTGATACCAACTAGCTGCCCCTTGGCAAGAATCAATCTGCCAATGTCATCAGTATAGCTCATGTGTTCTTTTTCTTTCGTTGGTATAACAAAGAGCAGATAGGAGACAGTCATGGATCATTTAAGGCTTTCCTGTCTATTTATACATCTACCTGTGTGCTGCCTCTTTCCAGAAAAGATCTTGAATAAAATGGATTAAAGCACCTGGATACAATAAGATGTTATTAATAGAAAAATAGAAAAGCAAAGCCCTTAGAAGAAATTTTTGATTCAAAGGCTAATATTATTGCTGACATTGAAATTAAATTTATCAGCGAGCTTCCTACAATCCACAACAATAAGGGAAGCATAATAAATTTATCCATTTCCTCAACTAACCAAAAAACTTAAAAGTATGCTAACTTCGTTAAAGCAGCATTGTTCTTGGGTCTAAATTCCCAGAGGAATCTCCCAATAACATCTTAGAAAAGAGCTTTGATTCTCAGTTTTCGATGTGCATTCACCTTCACGCTCCGGGGCACTGCCAGGGAAAGCGATGGATGATTCTCTGGCTTTTACAAACCTCGTGCTAAAACGAATGCTGTCCACTCGGTTGGCCATAGGAAATTAAAGCTGAACGACCGCATCCACCGAGGTTTGGAGACCTTTTTGTAAGAAGGACTGAAGAAACTTCTTAAATGAACAGAACTGTTTATGCAGCTCTCATTTGCCCCTTCTCTTAATAGGAAATGAAATAACGTAATTGAGTCAACCTATTTGACAGTACTAACAAACTCTCTTCTTCGCTCAGTCTTGAAAAAAGTACAATTGTGTGATACAAGGCCCCAAATGACGTCCTCATGAACCGAGAGGGGTGTACAGAAAAAGGTGGGTGAACAACCAGAAAACACCAGGAGTCTACCTGAATATCTGATGAGAGGTGGGATGTCTCAGAAGGAGAGTGACATTATGGCAGCAAAGGTGTTATTATAGGGGCCCTGCTGTGAGTGGTGAATGAAAGAATTGGGGTTTCTCACTTGCTCTCTAACTCCCCAGTTATTTTCTCTGTAAGGGCAGCAGAGAACCCCACAGCCAGAAACAGTTACAAACGGGCCAGCTGTCTTCCTGTGGCTACCCACCTGTGGTTTTACAATATTTTCCTCTGTTCCTGGATTGCAGAGTGAAAGATTAATGGCCGTTCCACCTTTGAAGGTCTTTGTGGTGCCTGGGGCAACACAAAAGGCCCCAGGTAACAATAAATTACTTTCCTCACCATGATTATCACAGTTGTTCAGACTGTACCTGAACTGTCTGGTTCCATCATTGAATTCTAAATAGCTGAAGACAGAGAGCTCTCCTCTCTTTCCTCACACCTAAGCAAGCCAGGCGCAACTCTGCTTTCTTCTCCAAGGTTTGAAAGGACAAACCTGGAATCTGCGCATCCTCTGTCATAGGCGGCATTGTTACTGTGGATTATACTTAGAGGTTCCTTATAGCCAAATCAACTGGATTCAATTCTCACAGATGGGTTATTTTTTAATGAATGCAATTACAATAAAAGCCATAACCACATTGACTAAGGCTGCCTGTACACTGGACAACAAAATGTGTTCATGGTGTTAGCGCGAAGAGAATGAGAGAGCTTTCGGACCCGTTCTAAGGAAGACATCAGCATGCCCTTGAATGAGTAACAGGAGACGAATGGCGTGGCTTTCTACACAAGTAGTATAAACTGAAAGCACGCCTGTGCTAAGCTGAGACACTAGAAGGACATAACAGTAAATGCTAATGTATATACTGAAGTTGGCAAAGCACAAATAAGCAGGCTGATCATTATCTCACATCAACTTATTATGACACACAACGGCCAGAAATCAAAGTCAGAGCTAAGAGAAAAACAGCTACCAACAACAGAGTCTTTATCTTTAACCATTTCCCCCCACCAAACCCTTTGTGATTAGTAGAAAGTCTAGGAATAGAAGATTTTTTAAAAAAGAAAGAAAGAAAGGGCAAAAAGAGGCCTATGAATTATTGGATGATTTTTAAATGACATACGAACCTAGGTGGGGGAAGCATCAGCTGAGATGAGTACACGTTTCTGCAGGGCATTTAAAAATAATACGGAAGCATACACGAAACACTTCCCGAAAATGGAAGTGCTTGTCTTGAAAGAGGAAAGAAAGAAAGGGCAAAAAGAGGCCTATGAATTATTGGATGATTTTTAAATGACATACGAACCTAGGTGGGGGAAGCATCAGCTGAGATGCGTACACGTTTCTGCAGGGCATTTAAAAATAATACGGAAGCATACACGAAACACTTCCCGAAAATGGAAGTGCTTGTCTTGAAAGAGGAGAGACCCAAATAACTGATGTGGAAAAGTTGGCATAGCAACACCACAATTGCAGTTGTGAGTCAAGGAGTAAACAAGTGCATAAAACAACTGCTTGAACGTTCTTACTTCTCCAGCTCATGGTCAAATCTTGCAGAGATTTTTCTGGCTTCCTCGTTTGAGAAATACAAACTATTCAGTCTAATAACTTGAAGCAATTCGTTTCCAGAACAAGAGAGGACATTCCTGACTCATGGAAAGGTCTCTGTGCTCTTCTGTGCTTTTCCGGTGTAAATATGGTGACAAGCAGGCATGTAGGAGAAGTAAGACTTTCGTCCTTCACAGCAGCCGCAGTTCTTTGACAGGAAAATGGCATAGAAATATATACTTCTCTATGTTTAAAACTATATTCCCAAGGAAAGGATAGCTTACCTGGTGTTAACAGGCCCCTTGAAGTCCGGCTCAAATGTCTTTGGATCACCTAAAAATAAAATACAGAGTTTTTTAAGCACAAAAGACAATGAAATAGTAAACAGGGAAATAAAGTCTATTTGTAAAGAGAATTAAATTTCCATGTGGGCTAGTCCATTGCTCCTGGCAGTATTGAATTTGTGGTTACAGGTGACAATCATTTTCCAACTAGAAACAACACTGGGAAGGGTAAACATGAACCATATTCTATAACCTTGTGCTCACATCCTGCCTTTGTACTGAGCAGCAACAGTATACACAGGATCCAGGACAGCAAAATCTTGTAGTCAGAAAAAATAATTGTCTACTTTCCACCATCAAACATTGGTTAGTATTTATGGAGCTAATGGTATAATGTGTATTGCCTGCTTATCCCAGTTCTCTCTCTAATATTAGGCTTTCCTTTGAGAAGTTTGATTTCTAGTCACCCTTGGACTCTGACATATTACCCCTTTGATATATGCAAATTATTAGTGTGTTATTTCAATATTATTTATGATCAATAGGTAGATTTCATAGAATCGAGGGAGACACCCTATTCATGCATGTGGCATCCTGATTATGATGGTGGCACATTACCTCCATCCGGAAACAATCACAAAGAAGACAGAATGTGCCCCCTTCCAGTGTGGACAGGTTCAATAAATAACTCACTGGTGTCCAGTCGAAGGTGATCCACAGTGACCCTAAAGGACAGGGTAGAACTGCCCCCACATGTTTCTGGGGCTGTAATTGTTTGCAGGAGTAGAAAGTCCTGTCTTTCTCAATAAATAAGCACCTTAAATTAATTCATTATTAATCAAAGATCTGCACTTTTAGCCCCAAAATTTCTTTAACCATTCTCACACCCTCCTAAGTATTTGTGAGGAGGTCTGATCTTGAATTAAGAACAGAATTTCGAAAGGAGCTAAAGACCTCCATCTATTGGCGACCTGACCTCATGTGTTGGAGAACTAGGGCAGCTGACTCTGAGACTTCAGTGTCACCACAGATTGAAGTGATTCAATCAATTGAAGTGACTCAGCCAGTGAATACACCTAGCGCCACTCCGATGCGCTGAGACCTCCGAGGGGACACATTTATAAGATGTGTGGTTCCTGTCTTGGAGACCTTAAAATGGGTTAGCAAGATTGACATATTGATTTATTCAATATGTATTTATTGAGAACCTGTTCTGCAATACATCAATATGGATGCCAAACAATAAAGTGCTAAGTTGTATGGTAACAGGCATGAATGTTCCAAGGATTTGGCGAAAATAGGTTTCCTTGGAGACTACATAGTCAGAAAGCTTTCTTTCAAGAAGTGAGACTTTTGTGAAAGGCTGGAGCCAAAACAGAGAGGGTCAGAAAGGAAAAACATCCTTGATGTATTCAATTAGAATTCCAATAGTTAATTCAGCAATTATTTATTGACTACCAGTACATGGGTGCTGCATTGAAAGAAGCACCCAAGGAATAGGTAGGATAGTAAAATTTACTCTGTCTTCAAGAACCCAGGAGCCAAGGAAAAGGGTGAGAAATAAGTCATATAGACAAATACTTAGGTCACAGGGGAGACATGGTATTATATGAGAATGAAATGTACAGCATGCTGGACATGATGAGGTGAAGGGAAGTAACCAGAGAAATAGAAAAATGATATTCAAGAAAATGTTTCAAGAAAGCGAAAGAAGATTGTGAATTCTACATAAAAATAATTGGTTGGTAAATTCTTGTCTGTGTGAGTGCATTATATGCAGGCTGAAAAATTGGGCTATTTTGCACAATTCTAGAGATTGCCAATCTACAGACATTGTCTCAATTCCCGTAGTAATCCTATACGGGTTTCTGAGGCTGTAAATCTTGACGGGAGCAGATAGCCTCAACTTTCACCAGAGGAGCGTCTCATGGATTTGAATCCCTGACTTTGAGATTAGCAGTCCAATATTTAGCTGATGGTGCGGCCAGGATGACATGCTTGGTATGCAAGAAGGTCAGAAGAAAAGAGGATTGACACAGTGGTTGTAAGAATGGGCTCACACAAGTGAGACGGGCAGAGGAGCAAACTGTGTTTTGTTCTGTTGTACATCGGAGCAGTATGAAGCAGAACGAATACATTGGCACGTAACAGCACCAACGAGGGATGTCGAGTATAGAGAACACAATGCACACTGTACTCTCTTGAGCTGTGCAATCCAATCGCCCTGTTATATTTACCTCACTTCAAAGAGTTTTGCAAAGAATGTCATTATAATCATTGATTTTTATGGATGAAGAAGTGGAGGCACAGAAGTAAGGTAATTTGCTCTGGTTCACTCAGCCAACAAGTGTGGTTGGGACTAGAACGCAGATTGTCTGACTTCAAAACTTGTGTGGAGCCCTTTTTGTCCCATCTCTTAGCGTTCTGCCCTTTCGTCTGCGCCCCACTTTTCCTCTGCTGCCGCCCACCTCCTGGTACAGCCGCACCATGGGTTTCAGAGACTTGAAGAGCCCTGCCGGCCTCCAGGTGCTCAAAGACTACCTGGCCGACAAGAGCTACATCGAAGGGTATGTGCCATCACCAGCAGACGGGGCAGTGTTTGAAGCAATCTCCGGCCCTCCACCCGCTGACATGTATCATGCCCTACATTGGTTTAATCACATCAAGTCGTATGAAAAGGAAAATGCCAGTTTGCCAGGAGTAAAGAAAGCTTCGGGCAAGTATAGCCCTACTAATGTGGAAGACACCACAGGAAGTGGCGCTGCAGACAGTAAGGATGATGACGACATTGGTCTCTTTGGGTCTGAGGAGGAGGAGGAAAGTGAAGACGCAAAGAGGCTAAGAGAAGAACGCCGTGCACAGTGTGAGTCAAAGAAAGCCAAGAAACCGGCACTTGTTGCCAAGTCTTCCATCATACTAGATGTGGAACTATGGGATGACGAGACCGATATGGCAAAATTGGAAGAGTGCGTCAGACGCATTCAAGCAGACGGCTTGGTCTGGGGCTCATCCAAGCTCGTTCCAGTGGGGTATGAAATTTAAAAACTTCAAATACAGTGTGCAGTTGAATGACAACGGTGGTACCGATATGCTGGAGGAACAGATAACTGCTTTTGAAGACTATGCGCAATCCATCGATGTGGCTGCTTTCAACAAGATCTAAAATTCCTCCTGGATGGTTCCACTTAAATAAATGACTAAAAGACAAAAAAAATGCTTGTATTGAACTACTTGGCAGCAAATTGCTCGTTGGTGATATTAGAGTAAATCTGCAGATAAGAGGGGATAGAAAGCAGATTGGAAGGAATCAGGATTGTATACCAAAATCAAAACCAAATCCATTTCTATCAAGTCCATGCTGACTTATAGTGACCCTGAAGAACAGAGTCGAACTGCCCCATGGCCTTCCCAAGGCTGTGAATCTTTATGGAAGCAAACTGCTGTAACTTGCTCCGGCAGAGCTGCTGGAAGCTTTAAACCCCAGACCTTCCCGTGAGCAGCCGAGCACCTTATGCACCATGCCACCAGGGCTCCTGGTAATATCATATAGTAATCACACAATTATTCACTTTCAGATTAAAGGTGGGCAAAACTGGTTTAACAGTATCTAGGCTGGCTTCCAATTTTAGTGATTTGCACCGCACCATATAAAAAAGCAGATTGCAGTGTAAATGAAATGCCATAGTCAAATCTGCCTGAAAAGCTGACACTTGCTGATTATAAATCCAGTCTACTTATAGTTCAGCTGAAAAAACACCAATATCACAGTCAAATGAAGATTTGGCTGATTCGTATAGTAATGACAGCTGGAAAGTGATGAGGTCATCGTGCCCCCAAGCACTGGCAGGACCACATTGTCATGCAAATGTTTTATTTCCTGCAAATGAATCCAGGGCATCACTTTTTCAGGGCCCTTCCAGTACTCTAATTGCATCTTTGGAATAAATAGATTTATGGACGAGCCAAGTGGAAAAAAAAAACCCACAGGACTTCCTTGCCGCATATTTTAGCTATATCATTCATATTTCTCAAATAAAAAATAAATAAAATTAGCCAATCACTTTGTTAGCTTAAATCCATGTGCCTCTCTGATTGCCACAATTACTGCCTCATTTCAATAGAATCACCAAAAAGCATGTGTTGCAGGTAGTCACATATTTGTTGTAGTTGTCAGTTTGTACTATGCCCTTCCTGTGTAATTTTTTCCTGACTAGAAATAGAAACAATCCATGGATGTTAAAGAAAAGCATTCAGGTAACTAACTGACTCCAAGAATGCAGAGTTTACATGGCACTATTAAAAGCAAGTTGTAAGATATGAAATAGTCATGTTTAGAAACAAACTCCTTCTAAGCAATCTGGTTCTCAAAGAAATATCAATATAATACCACCGGGCAAGTATAAAAGCAGAAATTTGAAACATTTCATTTTATTCCTTCAGGAATATTCAGCGGAGAAAACCTAATACAATTCCTAGGGATTGAGGAGACCAAAGTGGAGCAAAGAAAGTATTCTAGGACTTCCGACTGACCTGTCCTGAGCCAGCAAGTCAGACAATGTGGTAAAGCCAAAAGACAGAACTTCACAGTTAAGGTTAAAAGCAACGTTCCAACAAACGTGAAAGATGAATTAGACCTGTGCATTCAAACACAATGCAGGGGAATTTGTTTTTAAATAAACTCTTCTTTTACTTAGTCAATAAAGTTGAAGGTCTTGCACCAATAAATCTATGCCTAGCCTTTCACCTAAGGAAAGTATATGTTTCCTTCTGGGTCTCCACAGGGATAAGGGACCAGGTTTTTGACCATTAATGAGTGGAATGATGTCCCTTCTTCTTAGCCCAGTACATGTGACCATTAACAATCTGGTCTACCTCCCAAGATTTATTTCCCATCATCCCTTACTTCAAACTTGATCTCAAAATCCTGAATTGCTCCTCATTTCTCTCAGACATATTGCATATCCTATTCCTGTTGATTAATAAAAATCCCCCCTCTTTGTTTCCTTGGCCATAGCCAAAGGAAAACCAGAGCTCTCCTCACAAA